TGAATAATTCATAGATATCTCACGGTAATGTCCTTTATCAGCAAAACTGTACCTTTCAAGAGGTCTCACTGTAATGCCCTTTATCAGCAAAACTGTACCTACCAAGAGGTCTCACTTTTATTGGAAACGTTTACAGCAACAAAAATTGTACCTACCAAGATATCTCACTGCAATGTCCTTTACAGCAGCAAAATTGTACATACCAAGAGGTCTCACTATTATGTCCTTTATATCCGCAAAATTATACCTACCAAGAGGTCTCGCGGTAATGTCCTTTACATCAGCAATATTGTATCTACCAAGAGGTCTCACTGTAATGTCCTTTACAGCAGCAAAACTGTACCTACCAAGAGGTCTCACTGTAATGTCCTTTACATCAGCAAAATTGTACCTACCAAGAGGTCTCGCTGTAATGTCCTTTACAGCAGCAAAACTGTACCTACCAAGAGGTCTCGCTGTAATGTCCTTTACAGCAACAAAACTGTACCTATCAAGAGGTCGCACTGCAATGTCCTTTACAGCAGCAAAATTGTACCTACCAAGAGTTCTCACGGTAATGTCCTTTATAGCAGCAAAATTGTTACATCAGTTTAAAAAAGTGCACAAGATCTAGCTAAAATTATCGAACGAAATGAACACAAATCATTTGACATGGAAAAGATAAGAGGTTCAATCACGCTCTGATTAACAATGGCATTATGTTTATAGAGGAAAAACAATCTATTACTATGGTTATAATTCAGCGCCGGTTAGACAAATTTCGACGGATTTCTCTGATTGCGTTTCTGTGATCCATTCGACGCTCTGGTTTTAGAACACTTCAATATCATGGAATTGACTGCTTTACGTTAAACTCAGGGCATTACTTTTTATCGGGCCATCCATACTAGGTTAATGTAATGAGCGATTTTCTCACCCAATTGTGAAATTATGAAGAAGGCAATTATCTCAACATCCAAGCGTTGATATTGCCGATTGCTGCAGTTATATTTGTTGCTTTTCAACTATATTTTGTGTGTAACGTAAGCTTATTTATGTTTGCTTTGAAATGAAAGATATCAATATAAACCCAATTACTTAAAAGAGCTAATAGTGACAAACTGACACATTTTAATCTGTGACTTTAGATATCTCTCAATTAAGTATCGGAGAGAATTAACGCAGGATATAGAAGACAAAATGACAGAGTTAATGGTCTCTCACGTAATGTTTAATCAGGCGTGCCCGCACTTATAAACGTTTAAAACAATGTATTAAAGTAAACCTTCGCTATCCTAACGTATATAAAGGTTGTTGAGAGAGCATACGTTATCAAAGAGATCAGTTATAAGATATCACTTTGTTCAAAGATTGTACAACGACACGCACGTGAATATCACTTTTCGATGCATATATGGAATGAGATACAGTATAAATAATGTCTTAAACTACACCACACAGCTGTTCGTCCTTCTGGGGCTGCTCAGTGATGTCCGTGGCTGAATTGTTGGAAACGTAGTAGGTGACTGAAAGAATAAAACAAATGTCAAATGTAAATTAAGAGACGTTATCTTCTAAAAGGATAATGTCAAATTCATGAATTAGTATTTGCATATTTACTTAAAACTTAAGAGCACCATTACAATTGTCACGTCTGATCTGTTTTAATGAAACATAAATATTTAACTGAATGTACGGGTACATTCAGAAAAAAAGGTCCATCTAAAATACTAATAGAGAGAAAATGTTTAAATCCAGCTGAAGTATCAAATGAAATCTTTATATCGATGAAGCAAAACTTATAATTGTATTGGAAGGCTTTGTTTTCGCAAAGGGGTTGCAAAGCGATAATACAATAATTTAAAGTTCCAAACACGCTGTTTTTTACGCGGCGTCCAAGTCAAACATTCACCTTTTATATTACAGCGCTTCTGACGTCATCGCACATTCTAGAACCAGCGCTTTCAAGATGTCGGGATATTTACCATTATCACGCGCTTTATACGACTGGAACTGAATTACAACGATTCTTTATTTACTGATATGAATATTTAGAAATAGATGTATATTTATACCTCTCCTTATCAATACTTTTGACAACAAATATAAACTGCAACATTACAGAACAAAAAAGTATTTTTACGATCGCGTTTATGTGACTTGGCACTGCTATTATGATAAAAACATCTAATATCATGCGATACTATGTGTATACATGTACTCCTTTGAGGCTTTCATTGTGTAGCTGAATCACTCATCTTTTATGTTTTTAAGCTATATATGGGCCTGTTGATTAATCTGGTTCGAAATCAACGGGAATGCATATTGGTAGACTGCCCTCGTGGCAAGATGGACGCTTAAGAATAGAAAACTACAGCATCTTCAGCCTAGACATTTGCTCTCTTCCATAGTTGGTTACTCACATATCGATTGTTATAAATTACAATAAAAAATGTCTGTAATTAAAACTAATATTCCAATTCAGCGGAATGCATCTGGAACTAACTTCATAATTACCCGAATTGTAGAAATCATTGTTTTGCATGTTTATTTTTTTTTCAAATATGAAATAAATGTTGAAAAGTCATCGAAAAAGAGATATTTGATTTATGATATTTTGATGTCTTGGTTAGAGGAATATGCATTCCAAAAATATATATGTATAGCACAGTTGTAGTGGTATACCAAGCAATGTCGAGAACAGGAGGTAATTTATCATAATTGTAATTTGTCAAATTCCTGACTACTCCAAAACTAAATATTCTTAGAATATTATTTGTAGGTGTGAGCTAATATTGTGTTGCAGCATTTGATTAGATTTGATTTCACCCAATATTACAATTTATTACGAATAATTTGATTGCAAGGAGGCAACAATTGTAACTCAAGTCATTGGAGAGCAATGCGCTTATAACGAATACATTCAGTAATTGAAAACTCAAAAAACCAAAACAAAAAGATTATACAATGAATTAATGTCATTAAACGGGAAAGAAATAATGACGTGTGAATATTATGCATTGTAACAAAACATCAATCAGTTGTTCTTTTTAAACGACCTGGCGGGAAGATGTAAAATTTCTCGCAAGCAAAAAATCATAATGTAACACAATATTTGGTGCGTGGACAATTTCAATAAAACTAAAACAAAGTAATTATGTGTTTATGTTAACTAACTGTTAGCTGTTAATGATTTCTGCTTTAAACCTTGCAGAATTAATCATTGTCAAATAATCAATATAATTATAATTGATCATCTATAAACATTCGTGCCTATAAATCAGGCAGGAAAAATTTGAACTTGAAAATATTTGAATGATGAATAATTCAGAGCGTTGATTTTCGAGAGGTAATCGACTTTACTTTCTTTTTTGTTAAATGGGACCTTGAAGTGATTTAGTATACTTATAAGAGTCTAACTTGATTTAAATTTTTAAGAGATTCGGACTGTTGAAATGCTAATAGTTGCCTTGGCAACTGTGGCATTTCATATACGCGACAAACAGTGAAACCCCGAAGACCTCCCCAACCCATATGGAAGCTTGAAATTATCTATGAATCCTGATCAAATGTATCTCATTAAATCACGTTCGGTGTCGTTTAATCGCTAGGATTTTAATGTTAATCATCTAAAAATTGATTTATGCTACTTCTGAAATGTTTAATTTGTTTCAATCAAAATGTCATAAAATACTTTATGATTGATCCGTTGATACTTTTTACTCCCTTCACGAGCTAATTTCTCACTAGGACGTGTATTAATGCATTATATTTTGGATATTACTAGTATTGAAGAAAAACTGGGCGATTGATTACGCAATTGTGATCTCTTATTTTTTTTTAAATTCATTTAAAAGCAACTTCGATGAAGATTCCAGGAAGGCATAAAATTATTCAAGAGCCGTCAACACAAAATACAGAGATTGCTACTCAATTCCATTGTCTCTATACAATAGCATTATGTTACCTGCAATTAGCATGTGTGAGAAAAAAATTAAATATGTGATATGATTATTAAGACTATTATTGTAAGGTTGACATTAAGAAAATACTAAAGGCATTATTAGTCTTAAATGTGTCACTGCTTCCCCAACCAATGTTGTTTACCTGTCGCACTTGATTTGATATTCTTAAGCTTGTGTCAAATATGATTTAAGTGATAACTACACATGTAAGAGATGTGTATTCCATTTACATGTTTCATATCGCAGTTTCGACGTTGTAAACTTTGTCATTTGAAACCATGACACTACCTTACATAAACTGATCCAGACATGCACTTTGGTTTTACATATCTAAAGCTTGGCATAATTTAATTGAACAAGGGCATAAATTAAGTTCTGGGGTTGTTTTCATTGATATGTGCAGTTAGATATGACAATGGCTATGAGTTAAATGGGAGACAGTTTCTAGAAAATTGTAGCTATGTTGTATGATTTGGAGTTAGTCTTATCAGCAAGACTGTCAATTGGCATAAGACACTAACAATAAGCCTAATATCCACACAAAATGGGCGAAACAAAAGTTTTTCGCTTGCGAAACTGAAAAAAAAAATCAAAACTCGTCTCAAATATAGAATGTGAATGGAAAGCCATGACAGATCAGATCCTCCACATCTTTTCGACATTTAGACATCCTGTTTTGGTGTCTTGTACAGAGTTGAAGTGCATTTCGGATATTAAGTTGTGATTTGTTATGTTGTTTACCTATCGTGTATATGGTAATACATACTATGCGGTTAGTACGGTGGCTGATTGATGACATTTCGTTATTTTTAAGACGAGCATTGACGACCACCGCACGTGAGTGATATTGTTTGTCAATTAGAGACAGAGGAAGTTAAGAATCAAGAAAAGTGATGGTGATTACAGTTTTTTTCCTATTTTTTAAAGGACAACATCTAGACTCATTATGTTATAAAGTTGTTGTTCATGTCCTCGTCATATATTTCGAACTTAAATTGTTATTTTACATATAAGTATGAATATCAAATTATTTTTTTTTTCTCTTCTCTATTATAGATGCCCGTCGAGTCTATTGCGATATGACGTGGGACGGTTTGTCATGCTGGCCAACAACACCTGGTGGACAGTACTCCATAATAGCTTGTCCCATTATGAAAAATATCGATGTCACAAGTAAGTTTGTTTGAAAAGTGTTTTTTATTGAATTACAATCATAGCTAATATTAGTTATGTAGTTTGATGTAATGTCTGTAGGGGGTTGCAAACTACATAACGAATTTATTAACTGATATATATATAAGTCATCACATTTCCTGGCATCCATGTAAAAACACCTAGTCGGACGTCAAAATCTGGGTTTTGCTGCTTTTCCACCAAATAATCTTTGAACAAGCGGCCAACTTATAGCTTTTAACGTCTTATAGAGTGCATGCGTTTTTTTTCCTTGTCTGCAGCTGTCGTCTGCCCGAACAGCGTACTTCAAAAAGCAACGCCTACTTCTTTGCGCGTAGCACGATTCGACGTTAGTTGTTTCTTCCTAACACAGTTTACTACTTACCTGACATAATCTAATAATAATTCATTCATCTAAAAAAAAATAGAAAAGCATTGCTCTATGCATCAGACAAATTAGTCTGGAAGAAAAACAGTTGTTTTTCGTCAAATATTAATTGAAAACACAGACATGAAGAAAATATAACAATTTTAATCCTGAAGACATATTAAGAATATCAAAATGACTGAGTTGAAAGCATTAGTATTCGGGACATAAGACCGCTTGGCTTTCATATCTTGAAGCCATTGCTCTACCAAAATTATTGTAAATCTTACAGCACTAGCACATAGTAATGACAGAACAATGAAGCCAATATTTTGTATAGATCAATGAAATAATGGGAACGAGATCATGAGTGGATTGCAGAGGGGGTCAGTTTAATGTAGACACTATTTTATAGATCAATGAAAGGAGGGCTAATACAAGACTATGAGTGGATTGTAGTGGGAGCCAGGTCCCTGTAGCCACTGTTTCGTATAGATCAATTAATTTAAACATATTTCGTTGCACATAAAAATCAATAGGATTGGGCACAAGTTTTACAACTTATATAAAGCCTTTTCCAAACATATTAGTACACACACATTACATGTACAAGGTGGCAGTAGGATATAATAACAACGAAACAATCATAAACAAGTTTAGAGAGAGAGGAGGGAAGTGTATAACACGAGCTTTATATGTTTAGAATATTTTGTATATATGTAGATTATGCATTCTTCTCCATGCAAGCGAAACAGGTAATACACTGACCACATGCCTAAACTCTCAACTTGTAATACACTGACCACATGCTTAAACTCTCAACTTGTAATACACTGACCACATGCCTAAACTCTCAACTTGTAATACACTGACCACATGCCTAAACTCTCAACTTGTCAATGTCCATGACTTCCTCTGCTTTGCTTACTTTCTCCTTGTCACTCGTTGCTTTCTTGAATATCCGTTTCCACTTGTTCGCTTGCACAGAGAAGGAGTAGGTACATGGTACACACATACAAATGCTTTTCCTTTATAAAAAAAATAAATTAATCTTAGATGTTATATCGCATTTCATTCGTAAAGATATCAATGATATCATTCACATATATTTATAATAAAATAGATGATAGTTTATATATCTATGGTTGTAATGGTTTGGTTTTCTTGATCAGAAAGTGTCATCGAACAGGAGTAAATTAAAATTTAATGGTATGTATCTATTATGTTGACGAAACAACTTTATTAGTTGGTCAATTTAATTGTCACAGATAAAAAAAGATAGTTATCTTTAACAGGGGCGCCACATGTACAACATTAGTTAGTAGATAGATTTACTCGAAAAAGATCACTTTTAAGGGCACTATCATTATTTCTTAACTTGGTGTTCAAAATTTTATTTTTTCTATCACCGAGTAGAAAATAACTTGCAACATTTGACCGAATTTTGTATAGAACGATGAAAGTGTTTCACTATGCCGAGAACTGAAAGGTAATTGATTCCATAGCTTAACAGTAGACGGAAAAAAAGTATTAGGCAATTGAAGCCTATTGGTAGGTAGGATATAATTTTCAGCGTTTCTGAGGCCATAAGGAAGTGAAGGGAGTAGAGTATTAAGGTAGTCAGAAACTGTTTTATGATGAATTTTGTAAAAGAATTGAAACTTTTTAAGGGATCTCCTGTTGGCCAAAGTTTCCCAGCCGGTTTCATTATATAAAGATTGTCTTCTACAAGACCATGAGCAGATTGTTGAGGGCGTCAGTACACTGTAGCCACTGTTAGGACAAAGCCGTTAATAAAGAAACTATAATTGCACTATTTATCGTTGTCTGCATGTTGTAATTTCTTCCGGGTTCTGCTCAGTAGCAGCAAGTAGTTATCGACATCCGTTGACCTTCCGTCTGACATCTAGACTGTCTTGTCAATATAAACAGTATTATGCTGTGCTGAATTTTACAGGATGGCAGGGATCATCTATAAAATATAACAAATGTTTGGAAAAACTGACAGGTAGATAGTAAACTGTCAAGGTTGTTATTTGTTAGAAATGTTATTTTTCGCTATTTTAAGGAATTACACATGTATAAAATTGCGGAAAGGGAAATATAAAAACAAAATAAAAAATTCATATTAAAATATTCTGTTTCTCTCACGACATCAGTTGGCTCAATTTCGAATTTGCAGTGCAAATTCTAAAGGAGGAGAAATGCTCTCTGCATAAGCGCATCCGGAGAGCACTTTAAACATTGTTCTGAATAACTTATGTCATCGCCCCAACAAGTACCAAGTTGCATTCTGTGATTTCCGTTTTTGAGAGCACCTCTCTATTAGATATCACATATTTGAAATCGTATTGGGTGGTTAATAAAAGCTTTAACTTACTGAATGCAAGAAACTCGTTAATGAACTATTTTTAGTTGATTTGTATTATCACCTTACTGTAAATAACATTATTTTGAAATATTTACCACCAAGATGTACGTCTTAGCTCTAACCTACATTTTATCCTTGTTACATTTTTCTTATTTTTTTCCAGTGGATTCATATTTCCTTTGCGGCTATAATATGATAATCAACAACATGTTTGTTACGGTTATATAGAATCAGTGTCAGTAGTACATGTTAGTTAATAACTACTGAAAATAACAATCATGTAGTCCTCTGGTATTAAAATAACTTAATTTCAATTGTTTTTCATTTCGTCGACGTATAAATTTCTTTCCTGACAATATCCACATGATTAACGAAAATACATCCCCACCAATATTAATGATTTTAAAGTAACCATACTTAGAAATAGATATACAATTTAAACAAAACATTGGGTTGACAAAAATAGGTCCTAAGCATCTGTGACCAGTGCTAGAAATAGGAAACAGCTGTATGATACATATTACTTAATCATTTGGATCGACTGTGTTTAGCTATAAATGTGTATTAAAACGTGCATATCAATTGTGTTTCTTTTGTACAAAAACATATTACAGAGTGATTGTATAATCGAAATGTTAAAATTATGTTCTTTGCTTGACAGTTATGATTTCAATAAGAGAGATTAAAAGTACACGTATCCGTATTTTGATCCTGACAATTAGGAGTGTTTCTCATTCGTATGATATAAGATGTCAAGAACACGTGCATTGTACTTTGACACGCTGGTGACCGATTTCTGAGCCAGGAGTGTTAATAACATGTGCGAAATACATTTGAGAAACTGTTGATGGCACATAATCAATTATGTCAATGCATATGGTCACCGACATAGATTATACAAAATGAAACACAAAACAAAGAAAACCCACCATTTCTGGGACATCATTTAACTCAACTGTAAAGAAAGAATATTAAAGATTGTACACGAGTGAATAGCACTTTAAACATAGATATAGAATTAGATACAGCAGAGCCAAACAATGCATTTAACTGCATCAGACAACTGAGGAAAATACAATGTTATCGTTTGAAAAATTGTCAAAATCGAAATGGTGATGTGCACTAGCCCGATAATTCAATAACTTTGTAATTTCCATGTATCTTATAATTTTAGGTCAAAGTCAGGTGCATGTCTATATACAAACCCGTGCCGCAATTCGAATGAAATATAGCATGGCATGCAGGTTACGGCAAACCTTAAGGGCAAAAAGTCCACGTGCAGTGTCTACCATCTGCAATCTTTAAAATTGTACAAAAGACACAAACAAAATAGCACATGAACTGAAAACTCAATACAACATAGTCAAACCATGAGGTAAACTGCATCATACGGCTATTGCGTCCATCTGGGATCCTTATTTGAAGCTAAGTGCCAAAAAGTGAAAAAGACAGAAATATAGCACTTGTTTAAAAACAACGATCATTACCGCAGATGATTAACTGCATAGTAGACAATAGGTATTTTACTGGTTTTAATACTACCTTCAGATCCTGCAGATGCCACTTGCAAAGTAAGCCGTAAAGATAACAATAATTAAGAAATAAAGTGATTTTTTTCACTTATATTATCATTCATAAAGTTGAGACACGGCATAGGAATGCCCAAGTGTTGCTTTGCGCTCAACGTAGATAGCAACATAGAGACACACCCCACGTAATCACTTGACTACTTACTTTTGTATCTTCAGCACAAATTATGACGGAATTTCAATTAATTCGGTTTGAATACAGTTGTAAAATATAAAACTATACATCTGATCTATGATGACACAAATTATGTCGAGATTACAATAAATTTGTACACATAAGAAACTAGACAGCGGTGATTTTATCTCAGAAATCGATCGACATAGACGAACAAAACATACCAATACCGCCCATCCCTCTCAAGCTATAACACTATCCAATGTACCATCACTGACCTTGACCCAAATAATCTGAAACTCGAATTTTGATATCTTTATGCTTAATAAGTCTATGAAGTTAGGTGACAGCTTGAAACAGACCATGGATAGATTGATAGAGAGACTGAGAGAAAAAAAAACTAAAACACGCCCCAACTCAACCTCTTCCAAGCCACATCCCCCATTCGGTATAGTATCAACAACATGTCAAGCTATACATGATACATCCATATCAATATCATAATTTATTAACATTTCAAAATTATATGTCTTGTTAGTATATAAAGACCACGCTTAC